GCAGAGGATGGGTTCCCGTGTTGTCCGTTTGCCGCTGTGACGCTGTGTCGAGGCGCCTCCAGCCGTCCTGGGGCTCGGTGGGGGAGTCCTGGGGCCCTCTTGGGTGCTACTGGGGGCTCCCTGGAGGCCTCTTGAGGCTCCTTGGGGTTCCTTTGGGGGCCTCTTGGGCGCCTCTTGGGGCCTCTTGAAGGTTCCTGGGGCGGAAAACCCTGAAAATGGGCCGCTGCCTCCGCTCCGGGGGCGCTCTTGGGGCGTCCCTGGGGCTCTTCGGAGACCGTCTTGGAGGCCTTTTGGGTCGTCTTGAGGGCCTATTCGGCCGTCTGGGCGCTCTCTTGGGGGTCTCTGAGGGCGTCTTGGGGCGATCTTTGGGGCCTCTTGGGCTGTCTTGGAAAGGCGGGAAGCCGAAAAGACGAAACCCCCAGAAACCTTCAAATTCCTAAGGAAAAGCTAATTATGATTTTGGACGCTACGGGCTCTCCTGAAGGGCCTGTTGGAGGCCTCTCGTGGCGTCTGTGGGGCTCCTTGGGTCGTCGGGACGCCATCCTGGGCGTCTTGTGCCGCCGTTTCGGCGACTGGAAGCCTTCTTGGTCCATCTTGTGGGCCATCTTGGGGCCGTCCGTGCCTCGTGGAAGAGCGTCTGCAGAAATCGGGCCGTGAGCGGCCGCCGAGCGGCCGTCTTCCGCCGACTTCCGCCGACTCCCGCCGGCGTTCCGCCCGTGGCCGCGGCCCTGTCCAGGGGGGTCCCCCCCAGACCCCCCCAGGGGGACACTAAACGGGAACCCCTCCGCCAGGTCGGGGAAAAACTCGAGGTCCCCTATGTAGACAGTCCGACTCAGGGAGAAACGTTTGTCGCCCTTGCTGGTCGACCCTTTGGGCTTGCCATCAGCCTTGTCACCAGCGTAGCAACCCAGGGTGTCGCGGGCTCCATCGGAGAAAGAACGCGGTTCCCGTCGACCCCGCCCCAATCCACGTCCACGGACGCATCGGGGCCCACGAGGTGCATGCCCATCCTCTGGTTCCTCTTTCTCCTCTTTCTCCTCCTCCTCCTCCTCCTCCTCCTCCTCCACCTCCACCTCCTGTTCCTCCTCCTCCTCCTCCTCCTCCTCCTCCTCCTCCTCCTCCTCCTCCCCCTCCTTCCCCTAATCTTCAGCACCGTCAGCATCGCGATCATCGCGCCTGAGGTCTCAATTACACCCGCGGCTGGCATCGTCCACAAGGTTGCCGCGGATGAAAACACACTCGGCCCATTGATGCAATCGTCGCCCGTGGGCGATCTTCGGCGCGGAGCGCGTCAGGTCGTTCAGATGCGCGCCCGCGCTGTTGCCCTTGATCAGCGCGCGCCCGCGCTGGCCCCAGAGGCGCGAGCGCACCCAGTTGAACGAGCCGCGAAGCGTCGAGCCGTCCGCTGCCGTCGCCATCCCTGAAGTCCATCGGGGGCGGATCAAGGACAGCAGCATGTCTACTCTGACCTCGCAGAGCCAAGCTATCGCAGCCAGGCCCAATCGGCGAGCCAAGTAGGCGGAGGCACTCGCTGGGTGGCTCGCCGTTGCCCCTGTCGCACCTCCAGCGAGAGAAATCCATCATCTCTAACGCAGAGCGTGCCTGGCAGAACGTTCAGGCTCGATGCCCCGCGTGTCATCAGAGCATGACAAATGGAAAACCAAGGTGGCCAGGCATACCCTTGCAAAGTGACGGCTAAAATTATGACGCTACGCGAACTTCGTCTGAGCAGCCTTGTCGCCGAAGGCCCCTCCCAACGGACTTGCCCGCTGAGCCCGCTCAAATTGGGGATCCCATCGAGTTCGCATCGGCGCGCGGCGTGCTGTCCACGGGGGGGCCTGCAGGAGTGCCGGCTTCCCAGTCGATGCGGAAGCCTTGGGGGCGCGCGCTGCCAGGGGGGTCATCTCGCGGGATGCGCGCGGCGGCGCGCGCTGGATACCATGTCTCGCCCAGCGTGACGGCGTCGTTTCCCCCGGGCGCCTTCCGCCCTGACGTGGCGCGACGTCGCCGCGCGCGCCGCCCTCCATGAGATCCCACTTGGGCCATCGGCGGGCCGGGCATGCGCTTTCGGGGCCCAGTCCCGCGAGCTCGCTGGGCCCTTCGCAGTGCCCCATCGGCATCTCAGCTGGCGTCTTCTCCCGCGCTTCCACGTTGAGGGGGTCGCCCCTGGAGCCGCGCGCGCCCCGGGCCGCGCGCTCGCCCCAGTCTCGCGGGCGCGCGATCCACTCCCATCGTCGCCGCCCCCGCGTTGCGGCCGACGCTAAAAGCCCCGCCCGGCGGGGCATCTCCTGAGCATTTTCCTAGGGTGGAGAGCTCAGGGTCCAGTCCATATGGGCTTGCGCACCTCGAAAATCAAGCCGTCTTGTGATTGACCTTTTGCAGATTCCTTCGGAAATCTGTCGAAACGGCATTTCGCATTTCACCCTTTTCCCTCCGGCCAAAGAAAAAGCTCGGATCTCCCAAGCGCGGATTCCCGCGCCTCAGCCGGGCGACAATCTGCGCGGCTGTAGTTGGCGCGATTTCCCATCGACTCTAGCCGGGAATGATAAATGCACGTGGCCGGTTGCTTTGCTGACGTCGGGGCGCAGCTTTCCGGCGCCGCTGCCGGGGGCTCTAGAGACGCCGAGCAGCGTCGCACACGGGCCGCATCTGCGCCTCTCGCTAGATTCGCAAATCTTAACAACTGCCGAACACGCCGCCGGCGGCCTGGACCCAAAAGCCTGGTATCGACGGAGGGGCAAGAGCTGGGCGCTGCAGATAAGGCGCCATCTCGAGGAACGGCTCCGGCCCGCAGCCTTGCTGGAGGCTCGAAGAATGTGCCCCGCGGCTGTTCGCAACGCGCCTGCGCGAGCCCTATGCGGGCCCTCGGTCGGCGCCGGCTAGGTTGCTCGACGACGCCCGTCTGCGGTGTCTCGCCCACCACTGCCTGCAGGCGGGCCCCGCCAACCAGCGCGGAACGTTTGAGGCATATGGCGCGACCAAGGCTGTCATTCGACAACGCGCTTGAGTGGGGCAGATCAGGGCAGCCCGCCCCGGCCACGTTGCTCTGTCTGGGGCTGGCCTCTGTAAGTCGCCGCGGCCCGGCGGGGCGGTGCTTGGCGCTTCAATTCCTGGCCCCGCGCCCAATGTAGTCGCGCTCGCGCAGGCCCGGGCATGCGTCTGCAGACTCCCAGCAGCCCATAGCCTTATCGTAGAAAGGGCGCCAGCGCCCCCCGTCTTCTTGTTTTTACGTTCCAGCCCAAGCCAATCCTGCTTGCTGAAGGCGGTTCGCCGGCTTGCCCCAGCTGCTCCGCCTGGCCATGGCGCCCTGCGCGCCCGCCCCTCCCCGTGGGTCTGGGCGCCCTGGCCGCGGCCGCGGACCTGCCCCCACGATTGTAACTCGTTCCTGGCCCGCTCCCTGTCTCCAGCGTCTGTGAGCAGGTAGGCGCTCCGACCGCGGCAGTGGGCAATGACTTTTCTGAAGATCGTGAATTCCTTCCGCTGCCAGCTCAGCATCGCCTTGACGCGCGCGCGGAGATCGGCCGTCAAGAAATCGCGCCCGACCTCCGGCGACCATCTGACGCCCATGATCCTCTCCATGAGCCACTGGTGGTACTTGAAGAGGACAGTGGGCGAGGCGTTCTCGGATCCTGGGAAGGCCGGCTAGTTGCAGGCGGTTCTCAGCTTGACTTGGCGCTCCGAGAATGCGGTTAGGCCCTTGACCAGCCAGCGCGCGCTTTCGGCTCGAGTCTGCGTCCTGCCTGGCTCGGAGAAGAGATTCCTGAACGGCGGTTCGACCTCCTCCTCCTCGAGGCTGCTCTTGACGCCCGCCTACAGGTGGGAAGCGAAGTCCGTGCGTTTCTCGATCGTCCGCCTCAGCTTCCCCAGGGGCCCGTTGGCCGGGAGCTACTGGGCAGGCCACGCGAACTGGCCCTGCTCCTTGACATGCACATCCAGGCGCTCGCGCTGCTCAGGGCCCAGGGATGTGTCCTTCGCCGTGTTGTCGCCTTTGGTTGCCGTTCTAGCTCGACTCTCGTCTCGGCCTCTGCTTGCCGTCCCGCCGATTTTATCGGCTGGCACGCGAGGTTGTCGCCTGGGTCGAGCCCCGCGGGCTGCCCGACAACAGCTGCGACGTTGGACTTTGAATCCGCCAAGTCAGCGACAGCGCCCAGTTTGACGATGCATTCGTCCACGAAGAATTTGGCGAGATTCTCGGTGTCCGCGAGGACGCCGCGCAGCTCGGTGGACAGGGTCTTGGCGACCTCTGCGCTGTAGGTTGTCGGCATGGCCTCCGGCAGAAGGGGGGGGGCTGGCACCCAGCTGCGGCCCCCGATTCTCTCGTTCGAGCCAGTGCCATGTGATGGCGCGCCTGTGTGCGTCCCTTGCACGGCTCCACGTTGAGCGCCCTCGCCTGGCCAGCGCCCAGGAAGTGTTATTCGATCGGGAAGGCGAGAGGGAAACAGGACTAACTCGAGGCGCAACTATCGTGGGGCTGTATGGCCTATCTGGTTTGGGGCTACTCTGCTTATCCTTTAAAAAACGAAGCACGCCATGGGGCACCGTTACTTTCGACGGCCGTTCTGTCATTCGGAGCGTATCCCTGAACATCCCCGGCGCAATCAGTGCGATTCATGTTGAGTACGTAGTTTTGTTCACGGTCCCGGGGCATGGCGAAGGCGCCCAAAGGCCGAAGTTTGGCAAGCGACTCTTGCCCAATGAGGAGATGTCAGGGGAGCGCCCAGGCGCCTTGCGAACGGTCGGGGTGGATCCTTACGCTACTCCTCTGTACATGTTAGCCTCCAGAGAAACGTGTTGTTTCTCTTCCTCCTCCTCCTCCTCCTCCTCCTCCTCCTCCAAGTCCTCGTCTTCCTCGTCCTCCTCCTCCTCCTCCTTTTCCCCCTTTTCCTCCTCCTCCTCTTCCTCCTTTTCCTCCTCCTCCTCGTCCTCGTCCTCCCCCTCCTCCTGCTCCTCGTCCTCCTCCTCCTCGGAGCTCGCCCTGCCCCCCCCCAAGCCCGCGGCGCCTACGCCGACGTCCACGCCCCCGAGGTCGTAGGTGTCCACCCGCAGCACCTCGCCGAGCTCCGCGAACCCGTCGTCGCTGCTGATGTCGCCGAGGCAGATCGCGCCGCCACCCACGGCCGAAAGGGCGCCGCCGCCGCCGCGGCCGCCGCCGCCGCCGCCACGGCCACCGCCGCGGTGCCCGCGGACGCCGCCGCCGCGGTGCCCGCGAACGCCGCCGCCGCGGGCGGCGCCGAAAGGCGACACGACGACGTCCGCGCAGGGCGGCGGCGGGCCGCCGACGGCCGCGCCGACTGCGAGGGCGCCGCCGCCGCTGCGGTCGGCGGGCCCTTGGGGCCTCCGCCGCCGCTGTGCGGCGAGGGGCGGCGTGGACGGGGCCGGCAGGGCGGGCATGTCGTCGACGGCGCCGAAGTCCAGGGCGGGGGCGCGAGCGGGGGCGCGAGCGGGGGCGGCAACGGAGCCGCGCCGCGGGGCCTGCGGGGGCGGGGGCGGGGAGGGAGGCGGGGCGGGGTCGGCAAGGGAGGTGCTAACAGGGCGCGAGCTAAACGCTAAACAGTGCGTTCCATTGCCGTTTCGTTATCGATTTCCTCGTTCTGCAAACACGAAAAAACATATCAGAAATCATAACGAAGAATACACCAATGAAATTGCCAACACACCATGAAGCTCGCGCCTTTCTTGGACGATAGAGGCCTCCTAGATGGGGTCCGAACAAATCGGATCGGCGGGTTGTGCCGCATCGCCGATTCGCCAACGCATCGGCGATGCATCGGTGACGTCAGCGACGCATCGGCGCAGACGGTGTGGAGAGAAACGGGCTCCATCCACATCGAGCCGCGTCGGCGATGCATCGGCGATGCGGCCCGATGATCGGACCCGGTCTATTCGGACCCCATCGGGGAGGCTTAGAGATGAGGGGGGACGATCGGGGGGGACTTTCTTTTCCCGCGAAGCACGACACCCACTGAGCCCCAATGGCGCACGCACCACGGCAACTTCAGACACATCGAGCAGTGTGAAAATACCAGCTTTCGACAGGAGAGCCCCCGCGCAGACTTTCAACATGAGACACGCCGATCGACCGAACATGAATTAGTCGGAGCGATAAGGGCAGATGCGTCGCTGGTAGATCTGAGGTAAGCCCCCCGGCCCTCCGATCGAGAAAGCGCACGCTCCTGGGCGGGGCAGGCTATCGGGTCCCTATCGGCGATGAGTGGGCGATTGAGGGTCGATGTTTCCCCCCTTAGCTTATCCCCAAACGGCAGTGGAAGTGAAGCGGCAAACGTCCCAGCAGGGCGTAGCAAAAAAAACACGCAACGAACCGCTCAAGAGAAACCGCCAGAGCGTGAGTGGGGGCCGAGCTTGGCGGAGAACAAACACACGCCGCGACCTGTGCTTTCTCCGCGCGACGCCCGGGGGCACGTCCGCCCCCCCCCCCCCCCCCTCGCGGGGGGCGACAGAGCAGGAGAAGGAAGGAAGAAGAGGATGGATAGTGGAGGAAAAGGAATGAGGAGGGGGGGAGGAGGAGGGGGGGCGAGGGGAAGACGGGGAGGAGGAGGAGGAGCAGGAGGAAGAGGAAGAGGAGGAGGACTAGGAGGAAGAGGAGGAGGAGGAGGAGGAGGAGGAGGAGGAGGAGGAGGAGGAGGAGTTACGGAGTTACGGATATTGCGACCGTGTCGGTTACTTAATAAAGACCCCAAACAGCAACCTTAAACGGGCTTGCCCGCAGCGGCCCGCTTGGCTCGCTCAGCTTTGCTGTATTGTTTGGGCCATAAACCCTGTTGAATTCGATAAAGGTAGTCTTGACGACTACGCTTAGGCTCACATTCCCTGGACAACTTAGCCAGCTGTTCTGCTGCAAAGCTTCCACAGGTAATGCAAAACCAAACCCCCAGTCCACCATGATATTTAAGTCGGTGAGACGAATGAGCGTAACCCCCCCCGACGTGCACCCGCTGCCCTGGAGGGGGTTCCCAAACTGCACCATCGCCCGTGGAAAAGGGGGGAAACACGGAGAGTCCAGCCAGGCCTTCTTCTGGGCCTGAGAGGTCGACCCCTTGCAACGATTACAACTAAGACCTGACACAGACAGTTGATGCTGAGAGCTGAACATACTACAGACCATTGGGGCAGGGGGCCTAGGTCCAGGGTGCCTCAGACGGGGCCTCGAGCCCTCAGACTGTTGCTCAGCCTCAATCGCTTCTAACGTGCTCAGGAGAATTCTCATCCGAACAAGGTACGCCATGCGTTCAGTACGATACAGACGTGCACGTACATCGGCCTTAACACGCACAGAGCTCGCTGCTACACCCGCTAACTCGTCGGCAGCAGCATTTCCGAGAATGAAAGGCACAGGGGTCCTACTCTGGCACATGTCTATTGCCTCCTGATGCGAGTGCACAGAGATGACTGTGACGGACAACTGGGCGCCACGGGCCTTCAGGACAGCTCCAATGAGAAACCACAGATCTGCATGTTCACCTGACGGGGTGGCGGAATGGCCATTGTACCAGCCTGAGCATACAGCAGCGTTGTCCGCGACGAAGACGATGCCACCGTTGCCGCCGCGCACGGCGAGGTACAGGGCGTACAACTCGCCTCTCGCCACCGTCTGAGCTGTGCCTGGGAGGCCGCCCCAGACGCCGATCTCGATCATCATGTCGTGGGTCAGGTCAGAGAAAACCGCCACTGCGAGTCCGACTCGTCGGAGAGCAGCATCACTAGTGTCCTTGCCCCCGCTGGCGTCGCCGAAGACAAAGGCAGGCGCCTCCTCTGACCCGCGTGGGAAACACGCTTCGCCGAAGCCAGCGATGCCGTGGCATGTCCAATCCTCATCCTGGATCGGCTCGGGCACCTCCAGCCATGGCGCGGGAATCAGGCCGCGCACCCAGAAACATGCCTCGGCCTCTCGGCCCGCATGCGCCTTGGCGACGAACTCGTCGGAGAGGTCGTCGATCTCATGATGCTTGCGACCTGAACACTCCCATACTCGATGAAATGATGTCTCTTTGCATTCCTTGCGCCGCATACACCATTCAGGGATGCTCTGCTTAGACCTCTGTTGTCGACGGGCTCGCGGCCAGGCCGCGCCAGCAGCAGAGGCCAACAAAAGGCCAGCCAGACGGCGACCGCCTGGGGCTGCCTCCACTTGACGTAGCAGCTGACGGTAAGAAGCATTGTGGATACCCTGCTCCATCCCAGCTCCATCGAAATGAGAGGAAGCTGCAAACCATAACTGCCTCTGAATCGTGCGCGTGAACTCCGAGAAGAACTGCTCTGGGATGTCGACACAGCTGAAACCCGTGAGATTCTCAACCTTAAACTCCCAACTGTTAGTCAAACCAGTGTTACCGGATGGTATCTGCCACTCCGACGGGCTGATTGGGTCCCATCCTGCCTCGAGCAAGTACGAGATGACTGTGCCTTGGGGGCCTCGGATGAAACGGTGCCGTCGCTCAGGTGGCATGCTTCTGAGTTCCTGTGCCAAACGCTGCCACGACTGATTGACCCCCGACCGAATGTGAGGGGCTGAGGTCCAGCATGACAACCACAAGCGCAAACACTCCGCTGGCATCTTGAAAGCTGGGTCGCGCTGAGGCGCGCGGAGGTCGAGCAAGGTAGTCAAACGCCGCCCAGACAATCTCGGGGCAACTGCATTAGCAACTTTACGTCGTACATGTAACATCTGCTGACCAAACAGCCCATGAATTTGATGTCCATACGTTCCTGCAGCCTGGGCGCCCTGCTGCTCGAGACGGCTTGTCAAGCCGTGCCGCCTCGTCGCCCGAGCGTGCTGCAGAACCTTCTTACTCATCTTCTTGTGCTTAGTGATCCGAGCCGTACGTGTCGCTCTGGCATGCCGCTTGCCGCCGCCCATGTCGCCGCCAAGGTAGGCCGTCTGACCCGACGCGTTGACGTGGTAGCCTTTGACCAGCAAGCGTCGTGCAATCACCTTGGCGTCGCACAGCCGAGCGAAGAGGACCACGCTCTTCGTGGAGACCTGCAAGCCGGCAGTCTGGATGGCCTCGCAGGTTTCAGATAAAGACTGCACCATCTTGGAAATCATCGCCCGTCGCGACGCTCGATAACTCTGGCTCAAATCATCGATCCACAGCCTGTGGGACATATCCACATGCACCGTCGTGATCTTTGCCATGATATGGCACGCGAAGCACTTGGCGAAACGTGCCCCAGCCCTGAGGCCCTGGACGACCGACCTCGCGGGGTCGAAGGGGGCCGAGCACGCGCCCGACTGGCGCACGCAGCGCGGGGCCATGCACTGCAGCAACTCCAGGCCCAGGATCTCCGCAGGGAAGTTGAGCCTGAGTGCCGTCTGACCGAGCATCAGCCACCCGATCGTGTCGTAAAAGCTGGCGAGGTCGACGAGGCCGTGCCCGTACTCCGTGGACAAGCGCACCGCCAGCTCCTCGTCGATCGCGCGCAGGAAGACCTCGGGGATCGCCGAGTTGCCGCGTATAGCAGCATCCCAGTGCGCCTCGCACTGGTCCGTCCAAGTGCGGACGCGCTGCTCGCGAGCGGCTGACCAGAGCCGCGCCGGATGAGGAAGCAGCCCTATCACGCGGTCCCCCTTGAGCTTCTTGGGAAGCAGGGTCCCGATGGTCATCAAAAGCTGGCGTGGCCAAATTTGCCGAGCCTCACATATATTAAGAAGTGCGGCCAGTTCATCAAGAGCTGAATCAGGAAGGCGGGACGTGTCCAACGGAGTCAAACGATCCACCCCCATCGCACCACATTTCATATGATCAAACGCCTCCCGCAAGGTAACACCATCAAGAGGTGGAAGCGCCTCATCTGCAACTCGCTGCCGAATCTCCTGAAAAAGGCCGTGCAGCTCGCTCAGCGGCTGGCCAGACGGGCCCCAAAGCGAAACCCAATGCTTACGCTTATGATCCATAATATCTTTGGGATGCACAAATGACTTACCATTCACCTCCAAAGTATCGCTGACAAGAGGCTGCTCACGAATGGCCCTGTGCAGGGCGCTCACTGCAGGGGCTGTCTCAGCCCAGGTACGGAACTCGCCCATGGCCTGGCTAAGCGTGCGCCGCTGTGCTCTTCGTGCCACCTTATCAGCTGCCTCGGAGACTATATTGAGCCCCTCTAGAGAGCTCTCACTTGTGCGACCAAGAAACTGCAGCCAGAAATCCCAAGCAAAGCGATCAGAAGGCCGAACCACCTGATGACCGCGCTCGGGGGCCTCCTCCTTCAGACGTGCCGCTGCGTCGACCAGGAGGAGCTGCTGCTTGATGCCCGAAACCTTGTCCCTGTAACGTGCCAGCGCGATCAACACGGTAGCCACGCGAGCCCA